GGCGGGAGCCGTTCGGGTGTGGAAAAGAAGAGTAAATTCGTTTGGAAAGAATTTAATTATTTAATTAATTTAAAATGTTTTTATTTTTGCATTTAATTAATTCTTTTCTTTTCTAATTACCTGGTGCGAGTCGCTGCTGCCGCACTCCGCCATGCCCAACTGCCCGTTCTTCACCGCCAGGCATTTCCCCACAGCTCTGTTCCGCAGCTTTCCGTCCTCGAAGTCCCACCTTGAAAGCAAATCAAAACAAATAAATAAATATTTATTTTAATTAATTAATTAATTAATTAATTAATTAAAATAAATATATTTACTCGAGCACTGGCGGGCTAATAATTAGAACGAATAACGAGAGAGCCGCTGCGTGCAAGTCCACAAACTCTCCCGCTGCTGCTGCTGCTGCTGCTGCTATCGCTGCTGCTGCTGTTGCTGCTGCTGCTGTTGCTGCTGCTGCTGTTGCTGCTGCTGCATCCGTGGGCTTGCTGCCTGCCGTTTCTCCTGCCCCCAGAAGGCGGCAGGCGACAACTATTTATTCCAGAACTTGCATTTATTATTTATTTATTTATTTATTTATTTATTTATTTATTTATTTATTTAATTTATTTATTTAATTTATTAATTTATTTATTTATTTAACTCACCACATTAGATCATTCACTCTGCACCAGTCTAAGCCGCCGCTGGGCGTGAGGCAAGCCTCGTCATTGAGAACTGGCATTACATGTCCGACTTTTCTGAAAATAAAACAAACAAATAAACAAATAAATAAATAAATAAAGGATTAATTTATTCATTTTTATTTATTTATTTATTTATTTACTCTTTTTAATTCATTTATTCTCTCCCTTTCGTCTTTGCACTTCCCCAAATATATGGACTTTTTGGTTTTTTTAAAAGCCCCTTTTCGCAGCATTATACAGCGCATGCAAATGCATGCATTTATGCATGCATTTATGCATGCATTTATTGCAATTAAAAATTGAAATTAAAAACAAATAAAAATAAAAATAAAAATAAAAATAAAAAAAATAAACGAACTTGAAATACATAAACTCCTGGACTTGGAGGTCCTCTTGGCAGCTCCGCAAAACCGCCCGGCTGCCCGGCGAGGGCCTCCCAGTGGCTTCGAGGCAAAGCCCGGAGTCTTCATTTTTGAGTTTTCCTGAAACAAATAAAATAAATAAAATAAATAAAATAAAATAAAATAAATAAAATAAAGTAAAATAAATTAATTAAATTAATTAATTAATTTAAATGAGGAGTCAAATAAATGCCCAGTTGGCTCTCCACTCCTCCCCATCGCGCCAGCTGCCACACACCAAAAGTCCCGCTGCTCCAAAGCAGCAGCAGCAACTCTGCACCACCACCACCACCACCACCACCACCAGCAGCAGCAGCAGCAGCAGCAGCAGCAGCAGCAGCAGCAGCAGCAGCAGCAGCAGCAGCAGCAGCAGAGCAGCAGCAGCAGCAGCAGCAGCAGCAGCAGCAGCAGCAGCAGCAGCAGCAGCAGCAGCAGCAGCAGCAGCATCATACCCAGGAAAGGAACATCTTCGAGGTGGACAACATCGGACTCCGGAAAAACATTTTCAAGAAACCACTGAAAGCCTTTACACCCCATCTCCCTCCTCATCCTCCGCCTCTCCCGCAGCGACCCCTCCCCATAATCCACCCCCGCTGGCCTCCCCAAAACCCGCCAGGCCAAATCTGCAAATCTGTCCATCCAAATTAAAGTCCGGAGTTTATTTGCAATTAAAGAAGAAGTCGGAAAGCTGTAAGGAGTTCCTCCTTTTCTGAAGACGTGGAAGACGCGGCTGCAGGCGGCGCACTCGACGCGGCCGCCGCACTGCCAGGCGCGGAAGCTGAGTTCCAGGTTCTCCGCGCCCCAGAACTTGAAGCCTTCGTCGTAAGCTCCAATCTCGAAAAAGAACTTCTTTGAAGCTGCAAATAAACCCCCGGACATCGCGGGGGAGGACTGGTATAATACCAGTTCATTCTCCTGCGGATGCTGCTTCGAACGGTGGTTCTGGGGGTGGTAGTTGTCCTGCTGCTGCTGCTGCTGCTGCTGCTGCTGCTGCAGCAGGCGCTGCTGCCGCTGCAGCAGCTGGTGGGGCTCGAAGGAGTGCTCCATGAGCTGCCAAAGGAAGCCCAAGTGGCAGCCAATGCCGCCAGTGATGTGCTCGAAGGTCTCCGCGTCAATTCCATCTACTTGGGGCATTACGAGGCTGCTGCTGCGCTGCAGCAGCCGCAGCAGCAGCGGCTCGAGCCACTGCTGCTGCACCTCCACGTGGCTGTCCAGCACCACGAAGTAAGCAGCAGCAGCAGCACGAATGGCCCGCAGCCGCGCAGCAACGATGCCTTCCCGCTGCGGACTCCGCAGCAGCTGCACCTTCGGCGGCAGCAGCAGCAAGTGCTGCTGCAGCTTCCCGTTGCCGCCGCGCGCTGCAGCAGCCACGTCTGCTGCTGTGCTGCCGTCGTCCAGCAGCAGCAGCTGCTGCAGCAGCTGCGGCGGAGTCCGGTTCAGCACGCTGTGCACGGACCGCAGCAAAGTGGACAAAGCCTCGTTATGAAATATTATTAAAACGGATGCTGCTGGCAAACTCGCCAAGTCATATTCAACTGCAGCACAAGCTGCAGCACGAGACTCCGGCACCGGCCGGTCCAGCGGCAGGTGGTCGCTCAGCAGCAAATTAAATCCGCCGCCCCGAGCCAACTCTGCTGCCATGTTCAGGTCCTGAACAGAAAACAAAGCAGCAGCAGCAGCAGCAGCAGCTGCAGCAGCAGCAGCAACTCAAGCAGCAGCAGCAGGGGGGCTGCTGCTGCAGCAGCAACGAGAACTGCAGCAGCAGCAGCAGCAACAAGTGCAGCAGCAGCAGCAGCAGGCTTTAGAGTTTGCTGCTGTGGAAGCTCACTGGAGGAGGAGGGGGCCCTGGAACGTAATTGGGAGTGCCGTCGGGTTTGAGCCCGAGGGGCCCGTGCATCCTTTCGGGGTCAAGGCCGCCGCTGCTGCTGCTGCTGCTGCTGCTGCTGCTGCTGCTGCTGCTGCTGTCGCTGCTGCTGCTGCGGGCGGCGTCCAGCTGCAGGGCGGCGGGGAGCGGCGCCGCCTTCTGCTGCAGCGCAGCGCCCACAGCGCCCACGTAAGCCAAGTCCTCAGCAGCAGGAACTGCAGCAGGAAACATGTAGCGCGTCAGCAGCAAAGCATTCAGCAAGATGGAGCCGAAGCCCAGGGCCATGACTGTGAGCTGCAGGCAGCCCCAGAGCGGCCGCCGCCAGTCCGCGTGCTGCAGCGGGCCGTCCACCATTGCTGCTGCTGCTGCTGCTGCTGCTGCTGCTGCTGCTGCGCTGCGCGCCGGCGGGGAAGACGAGGCTCCCGCGAAACCGACAGGCAAATAAACGCGTTTTGAACGAGGTTTGCAAAAAAAACTGCTGCGAGGCCGCGGGATTCCGCGCTGCTGCTGGGCACGTGGCGGCGGAGCACAGGCGCTGCAGCAGGCAAGACACAACGCCGCGGCCCCCGATCCTCCCGCCAGAGAGCCCCAACGCGCTCGTCCGAACTGGCAGAAATTAAGTTCTAAAAATCGAATATAACACACTCAAAAGGAAAAAGAATGGCGGCTTACAAAGGAAGTTTCAGCGCGGCGCGCCCGCGAGCCGTCTAGGCATCGGCGTGTCTGTACAGCCGAGAGTCTGGAGCGCGCGAAACGCGAATTCGCAAACTTTCACTCTTTTAAAACTTATTTTTAACTCCAAAACAAATTCAATTAACTTCTTTTCCGCGCTTTCCGCCCCCCAAGTGCCCCGATCGCACCCCCGCCGCTGCCGACGGCCCGTCCCACTGCATGCAGTTTGTCGCAGCCGCGCAGTCTGCAGTCTGCTGCGCAAAACGGAGCTTTCCCGAAACACTAAAGACTTAATTTTAAATATTAAAACTTATTTTCAAAACATAAACTCAGAAACTGCCTTTATTCCGCAGCTGGAGAGCACAGGAAGTGCTCCGCAACGCTGCGCAGCCGAACGCGCTGCTGCGCTGCAGCAACTGCCTCCAGCGGAGCTGCTGCTGCTGCTGCTGCTGCTGTTGCTGCTGCTGCCGTCTTCTTTCTGCGCTTTGCTGGTCTTGCTGCGCTGCCGAGGTGTACGTACACCTGAGCTGCTGCAGCAGCACGCGCAGCCCCTCGGCGCGAAACTCCAGCAGCTTTTCTTCGAGCCGCGGGGCCCCACACACAGCTGAGGTCTCCGCTTGCTGCAGCTAGCCACAGCTGGCTGCAGCTAGCTAGCTAGCTAGCTAGCTAGCTGGCTAGCTGGCTGCAGCTAGCTAGCTAGACACAGCTAGCTAGCCAGCCACTCTGGCCGCACTTCAGGCCACGGCCTTGCGGTGTCTGTGCAGCTCTGGGGCCCACAACTTCCAGCTGCAAACCCTAAACCCTAAACCCTAAACCCTAAACCCTAAACCCTAAACCCTCGCGCAACTGCAACGTAACTGAAATGAATGCGGCCGCGAGGCCCTCAATTCTGTGGCGAAAATGCATTTATTGTTTATTTGTTTTATCTCTTTTTCGTCAAGTCCTAAAAGTTTCTTTTTGTTCAAAACAAAATTAAAATATCTGCGAAAGAGGCTTAAAGAATGCATGCAGAACAAAAGCCGCGAAGCCCCAAGCCTAAACCCTAAACCCTAAACCCTAAACCCTAGAGAACCCCCTCTGGCCCTTTTATCCAAACCGCCAATGAGGGTTTAGGGTTTGGGGTTTGCAGCTGAGAGCAGCCGCGGCGTCGCGCCCGCGAGCGCGCCCTGCGGCTGGAGAAGCAGCAGCAGCAGCAGCAAAGCAGCAGCAGCAGCAGCGAAGCAGCAGCAGCAGCAGCAGCAGCAGAGCAGCAGCAAAAGTGGAGCGAAAGCTGAAGGGACTTGAACAGAAAGAACTGGGCTTTTGCATGCACCCCCGGAGAGCTGCAGCAAAGTTGGAAAGTGCTGCAGAGTTTAAAAAGTCTTAAGTTTGGATTTGGAGTTTCTTTGGGCAGTTTTTGGCGAAACTTGGAGCTGAAAACAGCAGCAAAAAGCTGCAGATCACCAAATCTTGAATCCCGGGGGGCCCCCTGCTGCTGCAGCACTTCTCCCGCTGCTGCAGGGGCCCCGAGGCAGCAGCAGTTTCAATTTTTTAGAAAAGAAGTCCAAATGGCATTTATTTTGGACTTGCGCTGCTGCTGCAGCAAAGAGAGGCTCGGGCGGCGGGCCGTTCACGCCTGGGGCGTGTGCGCGCGGCCGGGGGCCCCCGGGGGCCCCCCCAGAGCCACTTTGAAGGCCCGAATTTGTTTAATTGTTAAAAATAAAGATTTTAAAAAGCAAATTGGAGGAAAAACGGAGTTTTAACGCGGGAGAACCGCGCACTGGCTCGGCAGCTCCCACGAGTTCTGCATGGGGGGCTCTCTGGGCGGCGGTTTGCGTCCCGGGCGGCTCGCGCGGGGCTTTTGCAAATTTAAATTAATTAAAAATTAAATAAAAAGAAAAGAAAAGGAACGGAGGCGAGCAGGGGGCTCGGGAGCTGCGCGGGAAGCCAGATGGACCCCCCTGAGCAGAGTTGCACAGACGGCCACTGCCGGCATCGGGAGAGGGGTGTTCAGGGGCAAAAAGCACAGAGACGCGGCTTAACAGGGGTCTTTGGAGTTGCAATTTAAGTTTAAATTGTTTGGAAAAGGTCCGTGGCGGCGGAGTAGGGGCGGCTTTCGCGCATCGGCGCCGCGCCGTGCCGCGTCTTGCAGCAGCAGCAACCGGACCATAGGGCACAGGAACCTCTGGAGTTCGCGGCGAAAACGCGGGCTCCGCAAGCTGGTTTCGGGTTTATCTTGTTTGTTTCTGCGGATTCGCGTTGGGTTTCTACTTTCGAAGAGGTTTTAATCGCGGGAACCCGCTTGTTCCGTCCGCTTTCCGCGGCGCTGGAGTGTACGCCCGCCCAGCAGCTGCCACTCTGCGCTCGCGCGGGATCGCCGCTTTTCCCCTTGCCATTTCCTTTCCCCGAATGAAGCTTTTTCCTTTTCGTGCTCTTCAACTCGTTCTGCGTCCCGCTGCGCGAGCTCTGCATGCGTTGGGCTTCGAATTCAACTTCCCGCCGCCTCCGTTGCTCGTGGGTGGGCGCTGCTGCTGCAGAGCCTCGCGGATTCGCCCTTTCCTATTGAAACGCAGCTCGATCGCGGCCTTTTTTCTTTGCTTGCTGCTTCCGGGTTCAAAGTAGACACCTTTTGAGCGCCGCTGCGTGTCTGGGCGCCTTTGAACGCAGCAGAACGGCTTCCCCACCCGCTGCTGCCCCGCACTGCTGCTGCCCGCTTTCCGCCCTTTCGCCTCTTCCCTTCGCCGCTTTCTTTGCTGCGCCTTCTCTCTTCAATGCTGCGCCTCTGCGGCTTTTCCGCTGCGGCCTAATCGCGCCCGTCGCAGCAGCAGCAGCAGCAGCAGCAGCAGCTCGGGTCGGCGGCGCCTGCTGCTGCGCTGCTGCTCCGCTGCTGCTCCGCTGCTGCTCCGCCGCGCCCCTCCCCCTGGCCCAGCCGCCCCTCCCGCCTTTTCTTTCCTGCAGGGCCTCCCCCTTGCAGATGTCTGGGCAGCTCTAGCTGCAGCAGCAGCAGCAGCAGCAGCAGCAGCAGCAGCGACCCAAAGCGGGGCTTTCTCTCCGGGCAGCAAGCCTACCCGCAAGCCCGAAGCCCTGAGTTTTCACCAGCAGCCGCGGAGCCCAAAGCCCAGCTGCAGGCGCAAGCAGCAGCAGCAGCAGCAGCAGCAGCAGCAGCAGCAGCAGCAGCAGCAGCAGCTTAGCCTTTTTGGCCCGGAGGTTGGGCTGTCTGTACACTCCAAACGCATGCAACCAATGCCGCCCACAGGCCCCCCGACTCCTCAGGGGACTCCGAAGTTTAAAAAGTCCCGCAGCACGAGGGCTTTGCAGGTGGGGGGCCCGGACTTGCCTGCAGCAGCAGCAGCAGCAGCTGCTGCTGCTGCTGCTGCTGCTGCTTCCGAAGACGTGCAGAAAGAGGCGGCAGCGAACGCAGCAGCAGAAGCTGCAGCAGCAGCAGCAGCAGAAACAGCAGCAGGTCCAATGGAACAGCCCGCACAGAAGCGCCGAAGAAGCAGCACGGCCAGCAGCCGCCGCAGCAGCAGCAGCATCCCGGCCGAGGACAGAGCTGCAGAGCCTCTAGGTGAGTTGCTGCTGCTGCAGTCTTGCTGCTGCTGCAGTCTTGCTGCTGCTGCAGTCTGCTGCTGCTGCTGCTGCTGCAGCACATACCTACATGCCTACCGCGCTCCTTTCTGCTGCTGCCGCTCTCTCCCTCTCAAACAAACAAACAAACAAACAAATACAATTAATTAATCAATTATTTAATTTAATTAATTTAATTAATTAAATAATTAATTAAAAATAAATGAATTGTTTTGCTGCTGCAGGCAAGGCCTCGAGAACAGAAAGCCGGGCGGACTCGCTCTGCAGCACGCAGCAGCCAGCAACTCCGGTGGGCCACTCGGGGACTCCGGAGCGC